GGTGTGGGCCCTGGGGTGTGGGCCCTGGGGTGTGGACCCTGGAGTGTGGAGCCCTGGGGTGTGGGCCCTGGGGTGTGGGCCCTGGGAGTGTGGAGCCCTGGGGGTGTGGGCCCTGGGGTGTGGGCCCTGGAGTGTGGAGCCCTGGGGTGATGTGGGCCCTTGGGGTGGGCCCTGGGGTGTGGATCCTGGAGTGTGGAGCCCTGGGGTGTGGGCCCCGGGGTGTGGAACCTGGGATGGGACTGCTGGATGATCCTCCCAACTGGGCTGTGGTCCTTACTTGGAGCACTTTCCTTTAAGTTTCTTCCTAGCTCCGGGGAGAAGTCTAAAAAGAATGGACAAAGCTTTGTCATCGAGGCCATAAATGAGGACAGGCAGTAGATGGCAGTGCAGGGTTACGGATCCCTGGGAATTCCCTCTTTCTCCACTCCAAGCTGGAATTCCATTTCCGTCTCAGCCAGCGGCCAACCCCTGGCTCCGGGCCGCGGGCCGGCCCTCCCCCATCTCTGCAAGAGTTCCTCTTTAGGCTGGGACAAGAGAAACCTTTTCAAGGTAACTCTGTGCCCGCTGCGAAGGGAGGCAGCGAAGGGGCTCGTGGGGGCGGCAGGACCCACCGGCTGCCAGCTCGGGAGGGGGAGGGGCGCGCCATCTTGAGCCCGGGGCACGGGTGGTGGGCTGCAGGGGACGAGAGGCCGATCGGAGCAGCAAGGGCGCCCAGGGAGCCCGGCGAACGGGAGGCCTCCTTCCCAGGCCCTCCTTCCTCCAAGCTCAGCACCCTCTGCTGGGCACAGCCTGCCGCCTTCCTGCAGACGGGCACGAGGCGGCGCCGAGCAGGGCTCAGGGTGCGGGTGCTGCGGGCCGCGAGTCAGAAAAGCCAGCCTGGCGCTGTGGGGCTGAGCTGCACCCAGAGCGCCCACCCTTTCCTCAGGGCGAGACCGGGCAGTCTCTTGCTGTGCGCACGTGGGCGGGGGGCGCTGAGGTAGCAGATGGTACCCTTAGGTCTAAAGGCACCGGCGCACGGTGAGCAGGGGGAGAGCAGAGCTGCGCCTGACCGCGGGGACGCAGACCCGGATGGAGCAGGTCTCTGCCGCGGAGCAGTTACCCGCCCGGTACAGGTGTCGCCCTGTAACCCCTGGATGGCCTGAGAAAGGCCCCAGGCCCACCTGGTCCTCTGCTGCAATCGCAGTGTCTAAACCATGCCTTCCTCGGGCAATGTGCCCTACTTCACCTAAGAAAAAGCCACTGGAAGTTAAATACTCTGCCCCAGGCAGTGCTTGGTGGCAAGCCTTGTCACCTGCCCTGCCCTTGCCATTTCGCTGTGTGTTTTCCTCCCCTTGGCGTTTGGGGAAGACACTGACACTATGCCCTGGGGCCGGAGAGGTGGAGGCAGCCCTGGGTGAGCAGGTGACACCTTAACAGTTGTTCTGTTTACCTGGAGTTAGGAATGAATTATTTGATGGTAATTTTTTTTTCCCATCAAACATTCTATACATTTTACCAGAAAGTGAAAATGATCATCTTATGCTAGGATGCCTCAGTAATTTAAAAAAAAAAAAAAAAAAATACAAAAATTTAGGGCTGTGCTGGGTGTTGCAGTACACAACACTCCCAGCACTCCAGAGGCTGAGGCAGGAAGATCTTACAGAGTTTGAGGCCAGCCAGAGCGCTACATAGGAAGAACTACATAAGTGAGACCCTGTCTCAAAAGCCTTTCTCAGATGAGGGTATAGTTGGCCACAGAGACTCAGATGAGGGGGACCACAGCTGTCCAGGTCTCAATAGCATTCTTCTGCTGGTGACTGACTTCATCCTCGGTGAGGGACTGAGGCACCTGAACCCCGGGCACCTCTATGTCCTCAAATACATAGAAATTCAAAGGAGGACTGCGTAGTTAAGAGAGACGAATACATCAATAGAGTGGGACTTGCATCTGGTGTTGGAAGAAGTGAGGCACTTTCTGGGACCCCAAGTCACCTTTGATCTTCTGTCCACAGCCACCAACAGCTGACCCCAAGGAAATGGTGTCTGAAAAAGCTCACGTTGGCTCCCAGCAGGAGCTGGGGCAGGAAGAGCCGGAGACGCACCTCCTGAGCATGCCGGCCCGGCGGGGTCCTCGCAGTGAGTCTCTCAGTTCCGGCCCGGTGGTCCTTAAGAGCTGTCCTCTGTGAGCTCAGCACAGCACTGCTGTCTGAGGCCTTTGGGGCAGTGTTGTTTTGCAGTGTTTGTTTGTATGTTTGCTTCGGCCCTGGCGCCTTCACTGAGCTGTATCCTCAGGACATTTCATTTTGCTTTGCTTTGGTTTTTGCTTTTTGGGTTTTTTTGAGCAAGGTCTCACTGAGTCACTAAGATGCCAGGCTCAGTGTGAACTTGTGACCTTCTTGTGACCCTGCTCCAGCCTCCTGGCGTGCTGGGACTACAGGTGTGCACCACGGTGCCCATGTAAGGACGTGATGCTTGACCACTGCTCCATCCTACTTTATCAAAATTCTGTGTCATTATACAGGGAGGTGTTTGTCTAAGGGACAGGACGGATAGCTTTTGGGATGCATTTCTATGAATGGATAAGTTAGGAGGCGTTTATTGAAGTAGAAATGGTGAGGTTCATCAAACACTTAGAAATTCAGGGGCTGGTGAGATGGCTCAGTGGTCTAAAGCACCTACTTAGAACAAACTAAAAGCACAGGGACCGCGGTTCAATCCCCCAGCACCACATGCCAGCCAGCCCCGCCCCCTGGTGGGCTGAGTTGGCCACACACACACACACACACAAATAAATAAATAAATAAAATTTAAAAAAAAAAAAGAAATTCAAAGGAGGACTGCGTAGTTAAGGGAGACGAATACATCAATAGAGTGGGACTTGCATCTGGTGTTGGAAGAAGTGAGGCGCTTTCTGGGACCCCAGGTCACCTTGTCGCTTAGGACACCTGCACTGACCCCTTGTATACTCTCCTTCCCCTCCAAGAACCTTGGTCTGCATTCACAGGACACCAAACATTGTGAATCACTTACTCACTGTGGAGAAAGCCATTGCCCTGAACTCGCAGCTCTTCAGGGAAGGCAGTTGGGCAAGAAGTGCATCGTGCTTCCAGCCGCCACACCGTGTCCCTGCGGCAGAGCTGGGGAATGCAGCAACTGCTGTGAGTGAGAGGATTTTGGAAACCCGCTGATCTATAGTCCAGACCCCCAGGCTGGCCAAATAGCTCAGCGCATTAAAGCCCCTGCATAGGCAGACGCAGCGGCCGGGGGGTTCAATCCCTGGGCATGCCCTGCCGGCCCCGCCCTCCCAGGCACGCTGAGGCAGTGATTGAGACTGGGTGTGGTGGCGCGAGCCTGTAATCCCAGCTCTTTGGGAAGCTGAAAGCAGGAGAATCACTACGAGTCCGATCTATGTAGTGAGACCCTGTAGGCCGTGTAGATCCTTACCAAGATACAAAAAATAAAAATAAATAAACTCCAGACCCCCAGCGAAAGTCTGCAGTCCAAAAGCAATGACACAAGGAGATCCGTTAGGAATGAGTAAGAACAGAAGCAGAACGCAGCTGTTTCTTTTTCTAAATACAGTAGTCCCTTTCTATTTCGTGGTTCGACTTTCTCGGACTCACTGTTTCGCGGGTTTTCAGAAAATATTAATCTAAATTATTTATTTTTCGCTATACCGCAGGATTTTGTAGTACCATACAATATATGGATGTTGTTAAAATTACGTAGGTTTATGAGTTTACAAAATGGTTAAGAACATTAGAAGTGTCTTTAAAAGTGTGGGAAAGGTTTATAACATTGTGAGGAGGGTTTAGAAAGCCTTACAACATATATAAATACTAAAATAAATATAATGTCGCTACTTCACTGATTTTCACATATGATGGGGGTGTCTGAAACGTAACCTCCAAGGAAAAGTAGGGACCACTGCACTCAAAAGTATTCCATCCCAAAGGCCGGCCAAATAGCTCAGTGGATTAAAGCACCAGCAAGAAGGTGCAAGGGCCAGGAGTTTGATCCCCCAGCCTGCCATGCTGGCCTCGCCCCCAGGGCGCACTGAGATGGCAATTGAGACTGGGCATGGTGGTGCACACCTGTAATCCCAGCTCTTGGGAGGCTGTAAACGGGCGATCACTGTGAGTCCGATCTATTAGTGAGACCCTGTGAACCCTGTAGATCCTTCCCTAAAAAAATAAGATAAAAAAAAGTACTCTTTTCCGAAGCTTACAGTTTATCTTAGCTCAAGCTGCGGTAACAAAACACCATTCATGAAGTGGCTTAACAATGAAGTGTGTGATTTTTCCTAAAGTTCATAGCTCCTCTTAGGAGACTTGTTGCTCACGGCCAAATTATAAACACTGTTAACCTGGGTTTTCCCAGGTGAGACTTCAAATCCAGCCTAAACAAAGCTGATGCTCACAGATTAATGCTAAGAAAGCTATGGAGCTGTTGGATTTCTCTGAGGCTTTCATAAGGATGGGGAGAGTAACAGGCTGCCAGGCAGGCGGACCAACACAAGCAGATCCAAGCGCCTCTAACCGGAGAATTTAAGACCCTACTGGGAGCCGTGAGCCATGGGAAAGACCTGCTAAGGTCTTTGCTTGTGTCACCATTTAAGTATCAGGATAGTCGATTCTCAGCAGCTGTTTCATTGATTAGAAGAGGAGGTCTAGTGGGAGGCATAGATAGGTACAAGCGACGCAGCGAAGCTCCATTCTTCCCCGCCGGCCTCCAGAAGTCGCTCTCTCTTGCGGCACTGTAACACCACTGCGCACCTCTACACCGGCACCTTAACCCTCTTGCTCTTTACAGCTGCCCATGGAAGACAGTGCTGCGAGCCAGCCGCATTCTCGGGCCTGTGCCAGACTTTCCATGGGAGCCGGAAGGCCCGCTGCAATCCCATTTCCAGATTTTCATATGATTATATAGATTTGCTACTCCTGGCTTTAAAAGGATTAAACTCTGGTTGTCCCATTTGTTGTATGTATCATAGCTACAGGGTTTTTAAAAAATATTTTCTTATTTATTTATAAAATAAAAGCATGTGTCTGTTTTCAAAAAATTAAAATTAAAATTAAGACACATTCGCCCAGGACTTCATCTCTCAGACTCTTGAGGGAGGAACTATCAAAAACTAAGTGGTTTCTTATGAGCACAAATTTCTTCATGACTAACATCTCTTAGCATAGCTTTCTGAGATTCCTCCGTGCGGCAGCATGCAGGCCCGTCTCATTTCTTTTCCTTGCTGAATTCTACCTTTTCCTACAGATCTACATTTTGTGTGTTTCTACACCTGCAGGTGGACATTTACATTGTATTCATTTTGGTACCAAATAAACAGTGCTGCTCTGAGCCCTTATACCATGTCTTTGGGTTTTTTTTCCTCTTTTTTAAAATTTTTTAATAGAATACCATGTCTTTGTGTAGACACACATTTGTGTTTCTCTGGGGAAGGTTTCTAGTGGTAGACTGTCCACCTGATAAAATTTATGATAAATTTTTTTAAGAAACTGCCAGTGTGTCCCAAAGTGACTGTGTCCACCTCCCTTTTTTTTGTTCCCACCAACAATGGGCATGAGAGTGTCGCCTCTCTGCTCCCTTTGTAATACTTCATCACCCATCTTTGATTGTAGATTATTTTGTAATCTCCCTTATCCACAGGAGATACTGTTCATGGAGCCACTGTCCATGCTTGAAACTCATATAGAACTCAATTTTCTAATAGGCTTTTTCCTTCACATAACTATCTATGGTAATACTTAACTCACAAATTAAATATAATAAGAGGTAAACACCACTAACAATAAAATAGAAGCTTTAAGGGCTGGCCAAATAGCTCAGTGGATCAAAGCACCTGCAATCAGGTGCAGGGGCCAGGGGTTCAATCCCCTGGCCTTCTGTGCCAGCCCTGCCCCTGGGGTGCACTGAGATGGCAATTGAGACTGAGCGTGGCAGCACATGCCTGTAATCCCAGCTCTTGGGAGGCTGTAAACAGGTGGATCACTATGAGTCTGATCTAGTAGTGAGACCCTGAACACCCTGTAGACCCTTCCCTAAAATAAAAAATAAAAAAAAAAAAATAGAAGCTTCAGCAGGATTTATAATGGAAATTATATAAATCTTCTTTCTCCAAATATCACTATTCTGCATCTCTTTGCAATCTCAGCACCTGATTTTTTTTCTTCCTCCGCTAAGTCAAGAACTTCTAGCTGTTCAAGAGAAACAACTCACGGCTTTCCCTTGGTATGACTGAATTGCCAATGTCACTCCATTGCATTCTGGGGCCATTATTAAGTAACATAAAGGTACCTGGCACACAAGCCCTGGGATGGCCTCACGGGACATCTGATGACAAACATGGCTGGCTCCTAGGTGGCTGAATGGGTTGCAGTGTGCACAGCATCGTGCATGGGACGGGAATAATTAGTGTCCCAGAAGGAAGGCAGTTGGTTGGAATGCAATTCTAGCCACCCAGAGGCACATGCAATTCAAAACTTAGGAATCGCTTGTTTCCTTAAACTTTCCATTTAATATTTTTGGATTGCCGTGGATGACATGTAATTGAAATCCCAAATAAAGGGAGACTGCAGGGATGGCCTTTGATGGTGGGTGTGCGTTGGTCTCTCATTGTGCTTTTAACTTGCATTTCACTCATGACTTTGCAATATTTTTGTAGTATTCTTAGTTGTACATCTTTCAGATAAAATTTCTATTTAAACTTTTCTTGTCTTACTATAGAGTTTTAAGAGTTCTTTATTCTACATACAAGTACTTTATAGATAAACAACTTGAAATTACAGCACTTTCTCTAAGCCAATGCTTCTGTTTTCATTTTCTCTCCAATGTTTCGAACTATAAATGGGTTTTTTTTTTAAATCTTGATAGATTCAGATTTATTTTTTTTTTCTAATTACATTGTGCTTTTGGAGTTGTATCTACAGATTCTCTTGTCCAACCCAAGATCATGAAAATTTTTCTCTTCTGTTTTCTTCTAGAAGATTTATAGTTTTAGCTCTTAAATTTAGTTAGGTCTGTGATCTTTTGAGATGACTCAAGCTGTATTCACCTGAAGCCGATCTCTTTCTGCCCATATAAGCCTGTCTGCCCTACAGTCTTACCCATCTGACTAAAGGGAC